ATCCCCCCCCAAAAAAACAGCTTTCAATTCCAACCCTGATCTGTTCAGTCTTGAAATGTGCACTGTGTGTAAATGGGGAGTGTACAGAGAGTGTGACTCACAGTACAGTACCTAGAAATGTAGTTAGTTCTGTTCTGTGTGTTGTAGGTAGACAAGCCACCTGTTTCCCATTAAATGACACAAAGCCATGGGAACAATGGGGCTTGTCAGGCTTTTTCCTTGACTCCCAGAAGAGAGTGTGGGCTGAAGCTGATCAGACCAAGCCCCAGGCTACAGGGATGCTCCTGTCAGAAAACCCAGTCCAGGTAACATTGCCCCTGCACAGGTGAAGCACCACAGCGCTCGTGTACACGCAGTAAAAAACGCATGAGTCTTCAATGCCTCCGCTGGCAGGGATACTGCAAGCTCATCCGGTTTTGATGTTTCCCAGGGTGCGATTCCACAGCATCGCTCCCGGAGCACCAGTTCACAGCGCTTTTTCAGTCGCGTTTTTCTTTACGCTGGGTGAGGCCTGAGGCTGCCGAGAGCTGCCCTGGGGGGTTCGATGGTTATATATCATCGGTACGGGCACCTCCGCGTTCCTGACTGGCACTGGACACCCTCCAGTGACAATTCTGCACACCTGAACAGAAAACTATCCCTCCACCTTCTCACCAGTTTATCCAGTACAGGGGAACGGGGGAGCCAGAGCCCGTCCCAGCAAGCAGCTGGTGAAGGGACACACCCTGGCCAGGACACCAATCCAGCGCCGGGCACACGCCGACACAGGAAACAGGTTCAACCACACCGGCGATACAGCCTTCTCTGTGTAAGGATACCCTTATCCCCCAACACAACGAGCTCAAACCACTGCTTCTTTAGGACAGTGCCGAGCCCCAACACACCAACTAAAAGACAACGATACCCGCTGTCACTTGAGAACGACCGTGAGAGTATTAAAACGTGCGCAAACAATCTTTAATGCTTTATGGTAACCAATTTCAACATCCACACAAAAGGCAGCAACTACAGTATTTACAGTAATGACATTTTTACAGCCTGCAATAAGCAGAACTGCATGAACAACATTGAATAAGGGAGGAAGGAAGACTTCAGATCCAGCAGATCTTTGGACTTTCTCCCAGAGAGATGTAACCTGGTGTCTGATGTAAGTAAAATGCAGGAAAAAGTGCATTATATGTCAAATGTTATATAAACATTTGAAGTGACATTATAGTGAATCTCACTAATCCTCCAGGCAAGAGTATAAAGATATGTTGTTTGGGTATTCTTGTCCATCATCTTGCTAGCTTTTCTTTCCAATGGGTCAAATGAGGCAGTGCATCTATTGTACTGATCTTCCACAGACAAATCCCACTCCTCCTCTAGACAAGGGCACCTCGGTTTCTATCCAGCACGTACTGTCATTTTATACCATTTTGATCCCTGCCAGAACACAGCACCCGCAGAACCAATGGCATTGAATTTCATTGTACCAACTAAATAAACTGTATGATTTCCCACAAAAGTCATTTTAGAGAAAAAGGAAAGAGGAAAAAAAAACACATATCTAGCATATCACAGAAGGGCAGTCCTGGCACCAAAACTTCAAATGAAATTTTTTACAAAGCATGCGAAAGAAACATCAGAAACAGGAGGGCCGCGAGAGTCTGTGAAAACAAAAGCAGAAGGGCGTTTCAAATTCCCAGTAAATCAGACCACTCCGCGGGTTGTTTGAGAACTTTCCCGGGCTGGATCACTTGAAGCTGCCTGACCTCGATTTAACAATGTTGCAAGTCAGAAAGGGCTTTTTGGGAAGAAAAAAAAAAGACCGAAATGCCGAATGTCTTGGAATCCTACAGGAGGCCAACAGCCTTGTGCACCATCTCCTGTGTGCTCCCGTTAGCTTTTATTCAGTAAGGGAATGTCAAAGCAACAATAACAACTTCCCACAACAGCAAGGCCCTTGTGTCCCTGCAGAAGGCTGTCCTTGCCCTGTGGTGAAGTGGAGGTTCTGTTCCAGCTCCTGTGCGGAACAGTGCTGCCTGCATTTTTGTGGCTGGCCCAAGCCCCCCGAGAGAGAGAGAGAGAGGGGGGCACTAGCAACAAACACTGTAGTGCCAGCCTTCTAGTTCAACAGCTTCTTCTTCCCCAGCTAAACAGAAAGGAGCGTGCCAAACAAGAGAACTGCCAGTTTCCTTACGGCTCATGAGACAGGCGTCGGAAAATATACAGAAAGGGAGCAGCTGAAAACATTCTCGAAGCACAGAGCTGTTTAGGGAAGAGCTGCTGGCAGAACGACTACAATAAACGGACTGCCGACCTTGAAGGAAACAAAAAATCCTCAGCAAACACCCCCCACTTCTGCCTGTTCATCGAGGGCTCCAGGCTTGTTTAATAGCAGAAATATGTTAAAAATCCTCTCCAGCTTAAACAAGGCCGTCTGAAGTATCTGCATGTTTGTGTTGGGCCCGAGCTTGTTCCTGGAACTGCCTGTACCCACAGGACAGCCCTGAGGCAGAGGGCCAGAGCTCAGCAAGCGTCTGGGCTGCCCGAGGGGACTCGCTGTACGGTCAGTCAGAGTCCGAGTCGCTCAGCTGCTTCTGCTGTCTGGACAACTAGTCACCAAGAGTGGCGGAGGAGGGCGGCAGGCTTGAAAAGTCCACGTTTGTCCGCCAATGACGGTCGGAGGGAAAACGGAGCCCAGCAAGCCTTCCGTTTCAACTCCTGCAATGTCAGACCAGGTTGCTATAAGGGTCCAGCTGATGGAGGACGAACTGCGCTGAGCCCAGGCTCTGGGCTCCTTGGCATTTGTGTGGGTGCCTTTGTGGTTTCGTCTCCCGG